CCGGCCCCCGCGGCAGCAGGAGGGAGACGTGGTCTCTGCCACCATCTTGTCTGCAAAGCTGCGTCATTCGTAACCGCGTTTGCTTGAATTATGCCTTAAACTTCAGTTAGCGGGTGTTTTATGTTTATGAGTTTGAAATTCATTGCGCACAGGTATTATATGACATGTATGAAAACAATTAAGAGAGGATGTTCATAAAACAACCGTGAAACAAAACAAAACTCTCAAGCTTTCGGGGTTTCTGTCCTCCTGTAATTCCACATAGCAGCACTGGGGACTGGCAGGAACACTTCTTCATGTGAGAACAAGGCAACATTTTGTATAAATTCAGCAGTGTAGCGTGCTGGTGATATTCTACAACTTAAATGAAAAGTAAGTTCAAGTTGTGTGCATAGCTGTGTTCTAAGGGAAATAACCTACCAAAATTATAGATACCCATAATCCTAAGAAAGATGATGTGTTGAGATTTGCATTTAACACAGCCTACACTATTTGGCACAGCCACAAACAAGTTGGGTTTGGATTGTACACTTCCGGGTTTACAGTATTTTTCTGTCAACTCCACTCCCGTTTTCCTTCTGAAGGAAAAAATACTTAATAGCTAGATAAATTTAACCAGTCTTCAATTTCTCATTCCATTCATCTCCTGAGCAGCTTACAGACTTTCCTGTGTCTCCCAGTGGGTTGCATGACTGACACCTCCAACATAGCAAATACAAAAGTACATGGAGAGGACAGCTTTCACTCTGAATTCCCGATTTATTTTTCTTCAAAGTGGCACTGAGACTTGTTTGCTTTTGTTCCATCCCTTTCCCTTAACTGTCCTTCCCTATCCTGTCACTAAGTGTTGCTGTTGTACTTTTGTTCTGCCTAAGAGAGTATAATATGAGGCTTCTACTAAGGCTTGCGATATCCCCCAGGCTGTCCTAAGCACCCTTACCTCTTCACGTGCCACTTCTTTCTCTTCGCTTCCTTCCAGTGATGTCCAGCTCTCAAGTTTCTTTTCCTCTCCTCTTGCCCTAATTTAAAAACTCCTGTGCTCTGTGAAACAACCCAGAAGATGTTTCCTTGTTTAATCATCATCCTTTATCCTCCCACTTCCATATCAATTGTCTTCACCTGGCTTCTTTGCCTGATTTGGGTCGTGATTCTGCTGGTTTCATTCACATGGGGGACTTTTTTACTTCCCAGGGCATCAGTGGACCCATGTAGTGGCAGATTCTAATCAGTCTGAAAAAAGAGTGTCAGAATCTGTTTAAATCAATTGATCTTAAATTGATTTTTTCAATAGGTAAGCTCCTAAATCACAATGCAGGACTCTCCAAAGCACAACTGAGAGAAGTCTTGGAGACCCTGAAATTTCTGCTGACTTCTTATACAAATTACATTACATTTTTTAAAAACTTATGTAAGTTTAGTTATCCACATACTTGTTGGATGCTATATATAACTTTCGTTACAAAAAAACCAAAGTAGTTATTCCTACCAAACAGTGTGCCCAGGCAGCTGGAGGCAGGAAGAACATAAGCTTTAACAGGGATGGCTGTAAAAGCTGTATGTGAAATGTCATTCAGTAACATGCTGCAAAATAATGGCAAAACAAGGTTAATCTTGCTACTCTTGTCAGCTCCTTCCCTTCCTACTTCTGTTTTTCAGCAGGGCCTAAATTTTAAACTCTTTTCTTGCTGGCCTGTGTGAGATACAATGCAGTCAAGCAATTTACATACTAATAGAGAAAACAGCAGGATTGCTCTAACTGGCACTTAGCATCCTACGCTCCCAGGCTTTGCTCCAACAGCCCTTAGGTACAACGCAGCCAACCTCCCCAGTCCTCCCAGTAGCACTGCGCATTTCTCTCTGGCCCTTCTCCTTCCCCCAGGTAATATGGAAGTGGAAAGTGCTCAAAATGAGCCTCAGCCTCCTTGTATGTCAGAAGCGTTGACAGAAAAAGCTTATAAGGTGGAGTGGAAACATTCACTTCTGATGGTGATAAGTAATTTCTTTAATTATAGCCAAATTCATAATAAATAAACCACATGTTTTAATGGGAATTAAGGAAGATTTAGGATTAGAGTTGATAGTAGTAGTATGATTCAAGGTAGCAGATGAATCCCCGATCAGGATCACTCAGTATATGGGTGCTTATCTAATGTATATGAACTAACAGTCAAGTGGAAAAAAGGTCAGATCCTTTCATCTGGGTATCAGTACATCTGATGTACAGCCAAAGGCCGACATTTCTGCAGCTATAGGTCAGGAGTTCTTCCAGCCTTTACACCTGAATAGTATGTGCTTTAGGTATAAAACCTCAAGATACCTATTGAAACGGGGCAAAGATTTTCTTTAATAAATTGCATTCAATATTTTGTTATACCTCTTTCCTCAGTAAAGCACTTACAGAACATTATAATCATACTTCACTGTTCAGGGTAATATGAAGAAATAATAATCCACATACCCTGCATTGTGAGGGCCTGATCCAAAAGCCATTGAAATCAATGGCAAGAATTTGAGGACTGTTGCAAATTTTTTAACAAGCATAAAATGGCATCTTTGAGCTCACTGGATAAGATTGCAAACAAATTACTGTAATTCAGCTGAAAAACTGAGAATATCTACCTTTTGGACTACAGTTTTTAGCCCCAAGGGCAGGAGATAATGGAGCCTAAACGCATGCCTATGTCAGGATAGAATATTTCCCCACCCAGCTGGGAGAAAGGAATAAATATTATCTGACAGTATCTTGTTATAGATGGCGATCATTCAGGTGACTTGAAAATAGTCAGTAGTCCTACTAAAAGTCTTGGAAGGAACAAATCTGCAACCGATATTATTTACACAATTTGATTCTTAAAAATAAAAAATAAAAATCCCAGTCTGGAGACTTTATCCCAGCTAGGAGCTCTTTGAGGCCATTGGACATATGCCTTATCCCGGATCCAAGATAGAAAATTCCTGCACAGGTTCTACAAAGGGTTAAAACTTCTCCAGCTCCCTTTTAAACCAAAGGGTTCGGGGATACTCAGATTTCAAGAGGTCTCAATAGTTCTGTAGTAGCAAGCCCTAGATTTTTTATATT